ATAGTAAAACAGCAATAAAAGCTAATGATATAATAATTAGAGAGATGAGAACCAATAAGATCTCAACTTTAAATAAAACAAAGACATTAGTCATATTTTAAAATATTATATTTACATATATTTACATAAATTTATATAATTATTAATTTATGTTTTTGTTAGGACCATATATTTACATAAGGGTTTTCAAAAAAATTATTATCTTATTATCTTATCGAATTTGATGAATTTTTACATTGGTCCGACTTGGGACCAACAAAATTTATTAATTTATAGTGATTATTAATTTATCGAGTATTAATTTATAGAGGTTCTATGATATATGAGTATATCACACCAATAGTGTTTTTATTATCTCTCACTTTAATTTTTCTCCTATGCATACAGTGCTCCGTGCAATGAGGGACTTAAACACTATATCACGTTCTAATAATTTGTTTTACATTTTTTTATTGATCAGAATTTTGTTTTACAAGCTAAAACCAATCCTGCACATATGATGATAAACACAACGAAAACAAAACAATCAGCAAAGCAAAAGCTAAAGAATGAAACCATTTGTCTTAAATGGCTTCCTAGCATATCCATCCAATGCCAACTATAAACCACTTGTCAGGTGAGGACTGAGGATTTCACTAAGTGGAGGTTGTTCAATATGTAAGCAATTTCTCTACACCACCACCACCCCCAGCCCAATCCTTTGTTTAAATCTAAGCAATGTGTAGAAAATCACGATGAGATCACTAGCCAGGTTTAATAAAAATGTATATATATATATATATATAAGAAAGTGTTGTACGGTATCTTCACCAGAAACACCTGATTTGGTATTTGTACGTAATGGTGAAATTATTATGCTCATAACGAAAGGAATGATTTCCAAACAGTTTTTGCTCGTATCCTCCCCCTATGAAGAGTTTATCATTTTGAAAGCAGCCATAGCTTCTTCTCTCCAAAGGTCCTCCCTTAAACATAGTGAAAATCAAATACGGTAGAGAACTCAAAAATGGTTCTTCAACGCCCTCTATGTGATTATTCAAGTCAACTCACATGTTCCTCGGTGCAGCCTTCTGCGACAGTCAACTTATGTTGATGCAGAGGAACAATTTGGGAGTCAAATTACTTATTTTTTTGTAACTCCCTGAGATTTGGATTCATTTCATCATAGCTTTTCAGTTTTAAGAAGACTACTTGACATCCAAGTGTATGATACTAAAAGAAGAAAAAAGTAAATGAGACAATACATCGGAATGATGACAAGAAAAAGATAAAAGAAAAGAAAATTGATGTAATAGAGAGAGAGAGAGAGAGAGAGAGAGAGAGATAATATGTCTTCCGCTTGAAATCGAAATCTAGTTGCACAAGGATTAGACCTAAAACAACAACAACAAAAATATAAATGATTTAGTTTGCAAAATCAGTAGTTTTTTTGTTTTAAAGAAGAATTTATATATAGATATATATTATTTACCTTCATCTCCACAACTTGTCTGAATATACACTTGTGACGCTGAAACCTAACAAACCCCAAATTTCCCCATTTATCACCATAAGACTCATGGACCTCCCAGAATGGTATCCTCTCTGACCCATGCATCTCAAAACCATGCCCCGTAAGCAGCACAATATGCTTCCGATATTTCTCGTACTTGCATGATTTAACTTACATGTCGGTGGGACAATAGGTTCCCTGAAAATTATTTTGACAATTAATTTAAATAAAATTTTAAAGAACTTAGACCTTCATAAATTTATATTTTCAATTACTTACATTCCCTTTGAAGTCAATGTAGCTTGGGAAGACATCAAGTTGCACAACCACAGGTGATTTAGTTAGCAGAGACTCAATCAGCTTCTCAAACTCCTCACTTTTCACTTGATCAAATCGATTGGGTCCATGATGAACAGTGAGATCATTCACATGTCCCTTACCAACCAAAAAGTGTTTAACACTCTCCAGTTTGTCTGTTAACTGATGCCGCATGTCCACTCCATCCAGCATCATTTGTATAGTGACAGGTTGTCTCGAAGAGCCATCTCTCTTCACTTAGGCATAGTGCCCTCTGGAAAATGCTACAGCACAGCAAGTACCTGTTAAAAAGAAGTGAAAAAGAAAAATTGTGAGTCTCTAGAGAATACAACAAACAACTCAATAAATTTTTCTTTCTCTGGTTTAAAAACAGAAGTAAAGTTAGTATATATTTTGTACCAAAATCAGCATCCGTGAATGGATTAATTTGGAGATAAGGCTCGGAAATCATGTCAGGACGCTTTGTTCTCCAAGAAAATAACATTTGTGTCCATCCCGAGTTTGTCTGAGAAGAGAAACAACATCAAAAGGATTAGGACTAAGAAAATAACATAGAAGAAGTAAATCTATCAATTAGCAATTGTCAAAAAGCGTTTATATTATAGATTAAAAACACAAGTAAACAACAACACAAAAACCTTCAGTAGTTTTGTCAAAGTTTCGTTCCTCTCTTTGAGAGATTCGATCAATTTTCTCATTGTCTGCCATGGATGCACGCAAAAACAAAAAATAAGACTCAAAAACTCGTTGATATCTTGCAACTCTTGAGAGTCAGAAGAAAGCTAGCTAGGAGGAAGCCAACCACATTCATGTATAGTCCCGAGCAAGGTATATTCTAGGTTTAACTGGATCAAAACTCCTAAACAAGGCTAGCCAAGGAACAATATTTGACTCGATTCCCTAAACCAAACTACCTAATCAGACGCGTGAGTTCTTCCCCGATACAATCCAATCTAATCTGCCGAGAGAAAACGGAAAAAAAAAAAATACACAAACTAAAAATCTGACCTTTATCTCCTGCTTCTTCAGCTTCTGCTTCGTGGCCTTCTTCACAGCAAGAGCTCCTTTAACCTAGAAATAAAAAACGGAAACAAAAACAAAATTTGGTTAAATTAGACTGATGAAAAAAGGAAGAAAGAAGAAAGAAGAAAGCCATAAGAAGAAGAAGAAGAACCACAATGCGACTGTCGCCCACCTTGCCCATGGAGAACTTGGGAAAAAAATTGAAGCTAGGCTTGCCCATGGACAAGTATCGAAGAACGACTGCTTGGTTTTCCCGATAGAAGACTGCTTATTTTCGGTACGGTCTCGCCCGAGTTAGATCCGCGTGGCGATCCGGTGCTCCGAGTTAGACTCAAAAAGTGTTGGGCTATAAAGGCCCATTACTAGTTGGGCTGGATTACGCTGATCCATCGATTGTCTCAGACGTCAGCAGCACTGAGAGAGTTGTTAAAATGGCGGCGTGTGGTCTTATTATAAAAATGTAAGATTTTTTATGGTCTTAAAAATTTAAGATTTCTCTTCTTCGTGAACATTTTCCATGAATTGCATTGAAGACATGTGTATTTATGATGATTTTGGTACCTGTTCTTGTTAACAGGTACTACGAAACATGGGCACCAGGAAATCATCCTTCTTGACATATAATGCAAACGCAGAAAAAAATTCAGCAAACTCTGTATGCTAGCTGTTTGCCGGATTGTTACCCTTTTTGGATGGCTACTCTTTTTTTGGCATTCCAAAACCATTCTTGTAGTCGGTTTTGAGAACCTTGTGACGTGCTCAAATATGGCCTAATTTCTATATCGGTTATAAGTGACTAACTTTGGAACTCGCCCTAGTCCGTCATTCATTCTAGTCTTGTTATACTATATATTACTTGGCAGACACTTTATTTTAAAATAATATAGATACATTTAGGCTAACTTTTCTTCTCGTTATCAGGCTTTTTGATCATACACGTCCCTTGTTGCCTTGTTGGTTTATAAATTTTAGCCTCCAAGACTCATCTTGCTTTGGTAAGTTATTCTCAATTCTGTAATATATTTCAGTTAGAAAGGGTGACAGAGGTGTAGACTTGGTTGCATCACTTTGCAAGATATATATATGACACCTCGGAAGATGAGTTGAAGGAAAGTAATAAATATATAAGGCAAAATCATCTGAGAGAAACAATATTGAAGAAGAAGCCATTTCGGCATCCGAGTGCCAAACCGATAAGCTAGATAATATTGACACAGGTTGGTCTAGAACTTTCACAAAGTCTTGTGAGTTGACTGACCTATTTCTCTATTGTCCTTGATAAATGGAGTTACATTTTCAGCTGGCTTGACCTACTCCTAAGATTTACTGGATCAGGCCGTCCATCTCAAGTAGAAACAGATTACGATTATACAGTTTGTGGAAAACGCAAACTCGATAAGAGGGTGTTCACCAATGAAGAGCATGGCTTACTTGGATCTGGAAGCTTATATGCAGGAGCTGTTAGATATCATTTGTGATTATGATTTGAAGCCATCTGAACTCTAAAAAAGACAGTACATTTTCTTTTATTAATTATGTATATCACACCAATAGTGTTTCTATTATCTTCTCACTTTAAATTTTTCTCCTATGCATACCGTGCTCCGTGGAATGAGGGACTCTAACACTATATCACTTTAAAGTTACACCTTCCAGCTCGAGAGGCTAGGTATCTTCTCTGCAACTCTAAATGAACAACCAACGAGTGGTATTATTTTTATTTCACCCTAACATCAACACACAATAAAATAAGATCTCATCAAAGTTTGATCCATGAAAAAAAGATCTCATCAAAATAGATTATGAGTATTCAATTCCTGTTAAATTTTATATACATTAGAAATCTTAATCACCAAAAGGAAACGTATGTGAGACGTCATCGAAAGAGAACATGCATGACAAGCCCGCTCATGTAAAGAAAGACATGAACTCTTAAATTCATGAAGACATCACAATTTCCGTCCTTAGCTACCCAACTAGGCCAACAAACTTGAATCCAACTCAATAAAATGTACTTTGATTTATTAAAGTTCTTAAAAAGTAGTTTCATTCATATTAGAAACTTTTTTTTTTTGATTAAAGCATTATGCAACTAAACAGCTAAGTCATAATCCAAGTTGTTACTAAAAAAAGCTAGTGATGAACCAGGTCGATAAACAAGTGAAGCAGCAACTGTAAAACGACCAGTATCAGTCGGATACTGATTCTTCATCTATGCTACGGGCTTTCAACGCCTCGAGGTAGCCAGGTGTGGTAGCCTGTATTAATGTAGTCGATAATCAAGAACAAATTTATTTATGTATATAGATAGTCTAGCACAAATTTTTTTTTTTTTTTTGGTTATAAAGGAACAAAATTTATTTGTGTATCAATAATTAAGAACAAAATTTATCTAAGTACCTGGGTCTTTTACTATAGAAGCGGTAAGCACAGGCTTTCATATCAGCCTGGCGACAACGAAGACACCCGCTCATGTTTTTGCCAACGTATTCGATCATACGTCTAGCCATAATAACCTCAAGCTTACGTCCTCCCATGTAACTTCCACTGAGTGATAACGCCTTCTTTTTATCTTCCACATCAATGAAAGCAAATCTGTCCAAAACAAACAAACAAAAAAGAAAAACTATTTGTTTACAATTTAACTTGAGTTGTTTGTAACACATATTTTGGAAGAAGACAAGTCACAAACTCTTTGGGAACCCCGGTTGCACACTCAAAGGGAACAAAAACCCATGTGATCTCTCCACATGAACCGAAATGTTTAATCAAGGCGCTCTTGATATCATCCCTATCAAGGGAATTATCAAATCCCTTAACGAAAAGGACTGCCTTATTAGGTGCCTTTGAATCTTGACTTTCATAGCAGCATGGATATCTCGAGACCACCTCTTTCTTTGGGGTTTCTTTCTCCTATAGACAAAACAAAGATTTCGTGAGAGTCCCCAATTCGGTAAGGAGGCGATTGAAATTAAACAAATAGTTGATCTATAAAGTGTAAAGTATCGTCATATCTCAACCTACAAAACAAACACATATATAGAGACTAAAAACACTCTTGTAAGATGTAAAAAAAAATAACATTTACTTTCAATGAAGTCTCCGGTAGGTCCGCCTTGGACATATCTGTCCACTCCGAGTATGTCTGAGAAGAGAAACAACGTCCGTCAAAGGGAATAGGAGTGACAAAATAAAATAAAAGTAGTAAATCAAATCAATTAGCAATTTTCAAGAAGCGTTTATATATATAGCTTATAAACACAATTAAACACAACACATACCTTCAGTAGTTCTTCTAAATTTTCGTTCACTTCTTTGAGAGATTCGATCAATTTTCTCATTGTCTGCCATGGATAAATGAATAAGAAGAGCAGCAAAAACAATAATAACTCAAAAACTCGTTGATATCTTGCAACTCCTGAGAGTCAGAAGAAAGCTAGCTAGGAGGAAGCGAACCACACTCATCTATCGAGCAAGGTATATTCTAGGTTTAACTGGATCAAAATCCTAAACAAGGCTAGCCAAGGAACAATACTTGACTCGATTCCCTAAACCAAACTACCTAATCAGACGCGTGAGTTCTTCCCCGATACAATCCAATCTAATCTGCCGAGAGAAAACGGAAAAAAAAAAAAATACACAAACTAAAAATCTGACCTTTATCTCCTGCTTCTTCAGCTTCTGCTTCGTGGTCTTCTTCACAGCAAGAGCTCCTTTAACCTAAAAATAAAAAACGGAAACAAAAACAATATTTGGTTAAATTAGACTGATGAAAAAAGGAACAACAAAGAAAGCCATAAGAAGAAGAAGAAGAATTACATCGGTGGATGTCTTGCCCATATAGAGAAGCGTTTTTGATAAAAAGTGGAAGGAAAAAAATTACCCCACACTGCTTATTTATAATTCTCTTTTTGGTCTATTTTGTTTAAGCTGGCGTTTTGTGGGTTGGGCTGTTATTATCTGGGCTTATGCGCAATCCGTTCGTTGGAAACTGCAACTCCATCGACACCGTTCATGAAAATAGAACATGTCGATACGCTAGGATCGTACTTGGATTCTTCGCAACGATTGTGTTCTTCACTGAAAATCGAGAGCTTAAGGAATCTATTACATCTATGATGAAAACTCATGTTTTTTAGGACTTTTTTACTTTGATTTAGATTATCTACATGTGGATTATTTGTGGAATTGCTGGATTTTGCACCACATGATGTTATTATTCTTTTATTCAAGATCAAAGACGTGATGAGAGCTACCAAACTCTGAAGGAAACCCTAGCTGTGAAAAATTCCCTGGAGGTTGTTTGTTAAGCAAGGCAAAGGCTAAGCTGAGATCAATCTGTTCATTGTTATTATAACCGCCGAGCTAGACTCGCCGTCTAGAAAGCTTTCCCGTCGTGGGACGTCGGTTCTGGAGGTGGTTCTGAGGCTTCTTGACGCCGAAGATGTGGACCGTTTGTTTTTCCAGCAGCCGCCTTCTACGGGGGATGCTCCTTAAGGGTTCCGCCTTTGGTCTAATATCTCCAGCATGATTTGCAGAAGTAGCGAGGCTGAAAGAGGCTGTACTTGTTGTAGTAACAAAACTTTGCGTTTGTTGAGTCGCAACATGGACATCTCAGGGCTAGCTCTGGTGGCTGTGGCCTAGCCGCCCCGGTCGCCGGCGAGGGTTTCTTCTGATGGTCATCTTGTGTTGGGTTTGATGAACATGATACTCCCATGCATGGGTTCTCTTGCTTTGTTAAAATTCCCCAAAACACACCAAAGTTTCAATTTAAAAACCAAAACCCCCAAGATGTTGGAAATTGGGTAAATAATGGAGTTTTAACTGGTGCTGTACCAATGATCCCATAAGAGCTGAATCTGAGAGATCCTTGAAGACTATTAGATGAGTATGAGTAAAAATCCAAAGTGAAGCAAAAGGAAAGGCCAAGCATCTTGTTGTAGCCTCGATCCAATATGCTTTTTTTAAAAAAAAAAAATGTTATAGAGTTATTGAAGCTATAATATATACAAATTGGCGATGTGCGATGTCTTAAGAGTTTAATGCCATTGCCCATAACATAGGATATTGCTGATGCGGGTGTTAGTCTTGCTAATTTTTGTAAATTTATAACCAATATCTTAATTTAAAATATCACAAATGCAAAATTTATTTAGTAAGTTGGAGTTGAATACAAATGAATGACTAAACAAAACGGTAGAACTCCAGAGAAACGATTTTCATTTGAAACATAGAGATGTTTTTGGATTTTGTGATCACTAAACACAAACATTAACAATTATTACAAAGACAAAATATGGGGGGGGGTTTAGGGTGGCTAATTACCTTTTACCCCTCTTTATGTTTTTAAAATTAAATTTAATAAAAAATTATTAAAAATCGTAAATTAATTAAAAAGATATTTAAAATCGTCAATTAAATTCAAATATTAAAAATCGTATATTAATAAAAAAATTGTTAAAAATCGAAATTCAATAAAAAATATTTAAATTTAATAGAAATTATTAAAAATCGAAATTTAATCAAAACATATTTCAAATAGAAAATAACGAAAATTTCAAAATTGGAAGTTAATCAAAAAAACATTTAAAATCATATCATATATCATATATATTATAAGCAAAGTAAAATTTTGAGTTAAAACTCTCTCATTCAATCCCAGGGTGGCTAATTACCATTTATCTCTCTTTATATTTTTTAAAATTAAATTTAATAAAAAATTTATTAAAAATCATAAATTAATTAAAAAATTATGAAAAATCGTAAATTAAATAAAAATATTAAAAATCGGAAATTAATAAAAAAAATTGTTGAAAATCGAAATTTAATAAAAAACATTTAAATTTAATAAAAATTATTAAAAATCGAAATTTAATCAAAAAATATTTCAAATAGAAAATAACGAAAAATTAAAAATTGGAATTGAATAAAAAAATATTTAAAATCATATCATATATAATATATGCGAAGTAAATTTTTCGCTATAAGGTCTCTCATTCAATCTAGGTAACTAATTCCTCTTTATTCGTTAATAAAATTTTAAATATCCTTAATTAATTTATTTATTTTCGTAGTTTGTATAAAAATTTTGCTGCCACTTTTAGTTATTTTGATAATATTAAGATAATTTCAATCTGATTATCTGTTGAGCGAGATTATATGAAAAAAAAATGTACATGTGATATGGGAAATCCTAGCTTAAGTTGAGAGATTTTTTCCGTTTTTCAGTACCAGTAGTAGTGTTCTTCGATTATATGTTGTTGTTTTGTGTTGTCAGTTATTCTTCCTTACTTAACGTGATTAAAACCATGTCAACATATCATAAATCATCTTCATTGTCTAATGAACAGGTTTTAAGTCTTTTGTTTTTTTGTTTGTTATAAATATGGCTTTCTGAATTCTGTTTATTTTTGGAATAATGTAAGAGAGGCCAAATACTCTAGCAGGGCGCAGAGGAAAAACAGAACAAGGGAAAAAGGGAAAAACGAAGTAGAAAAAGAAGAGAAAAAAGATAAATTAAAACATATAGAAGAACATAGAGTTGACGAAAACGTAAAAAAATGAGGAAAAAATGAACAAAAAGTCCTAGACCATGAATAATAAGATAAAATGGGTAACACAAAAATAGTGAAGAAGAAAAATGATAAGGAGATGAAGAACTCAAAGTTGAAGAACAAAAATAGTAGATGAAGAAAATAAAGTATAAGAAGATGAAAACTCGACGATGAAAAAGAAATAAAAAGAAGAATGTAAAGATGCGAAAAAGACAAACAAAAATTAGAAAGAAAAAAAAGTTTGGATAAGACAAAAATGACTAATAAGAAGTAAAAAACAGAAGATAAAAACGGCTAATAAAAGCAAAAGAAGAATAGTAGAAGATGTTGAATAGTAAAAATTTAGAGAATACAAAGAAAATAAAAATAAAACGAAGAAGAAGAGGCAGACAAATAAAACAAAAAAAATCAACAGAAAAAACGAAGAAAAACCGAATGAAAAAAAAAATCAAGAAGTCAAAGAAGATGAATACAATACATAAGAAGAAATAGTCAAAAACAATGAAAGATAAGAAGGA